GCGGGAGGCTTCCGAACCGGTGGAGAGGAATCTGGCAGAGGGACCGAGTCAGCCTCACCCGGGGCGAGGCCACCGCCCTCCGGCCCTCCCACGGGCACCTCTCCTCGCCTCCCGGGCCAGCGCTGGGCAGGGACAAGGCATCAGGACTGTGGAGAGCTCGGGGCGCGAGGAATGGGGCTCAACCAAGTGGAGCAGACAATCCAGCGCATTTGTTCCAGCGATTTTTCTGGAGCCCTCGAAAGGGTCCTCTAGGCGCATGCAGCCAGGGGCGCCCTCCCCAGAACCTTTCCTCTGGCCTCGGCCTGGAGGCTGCCACGGGGGCGGGGGTCTGATCTGCCGTGGCTTTGCAGGCACCAAGACACTTTTGAGTTGGGAGAAAGGAGTGACAGTCTCTGCCCCCAGGAGAAAAGCACCATGAGAGAGGCACCCCCAGGGGCTGTGGTGTCCTTTACCATCCCCATCTGGACCTCTGCCCTCCAATGGCTTCAGGCAAAACATTTGTATCCAGAGCAGAGCCATGGCTGGGGAGTGCATCACAGAGGCGGGGAGTGGAGGCCGGGTGACTAGGGGGCCTGGATAGAGGCCTCCTCAGGCTACTGCCTGTAAGGAAAAGGGGGCTCTCCGCTCACTTAACAGCAGGAGGTGAGTGCACTGCCAGTAGGAAGCCAGGGCTCCGGTTCTCCCCAGACCCCCTTGGGTGCCTGGAGACACTGTGCCCCCCAATCTGTGCCCTGCAGCCTGGAGCTGTGCCCAGGAGCAACTTGAAGAGGTCTGAGTAGACATGTTACTGTGTGTGTGTGTGTGTGTGTGTGTGAGAGAGAGAGAGAGAGAGAGAGAGAGAGAGAGAGAGAATGCTCTAGCTCCCTTCCTCATCGCAGCAGCCCATTCAGTGTCCATCTGAAAAGAGCTTCATGTGTAATAAAGCGCATGCCCTGTGGTTGGCCAGAGGTGACTAAGTTTGATTTCTTGGGGGTCCAGGTAAGACACACCCTCCCAGCTGGCCAATCATTCACTGCAAAGTCTTCAGGCAAACACCAGAACAGCCCCTGGAGAACAGGTGAGGAGCTACACACTGAATTCAGGAAGTGATGCCATTGCACTTGCAGAGGCCCAGGCCAGGTAGGCACAACATGAAAGGCGGCTTGTTGCTGTTGCTTTTGTCATGCCCAGCGCTGGGTCAGGCTCCTCTGGGCATTCACCCCAGGCTCCTCTCAGTCAGCCTGGCCTTGCTTCTCCAGGTGGGGTGATGTGAAGGGGAGCGGGAGGAAGGAAGGCTGGGGAAGACCGAGTAGCTTGACATGTGACTCCCCCAGAAGAATGACTTCACTTGGGAGTGAATGTACCAGCAGCGTGCAGGGGCTGGTTGGCGGCAGGCTGAGAGGCAGCCTGTGGAGAGGAGAGCCAGGCTCAGAGGCTAAGGGAACAACAGCACGCTGGGGGAGGGGGGGAGGGAGCCGGGGGCAGGGGAGACAGCCCCCCTCGGTGTGGAAATACCCGGAGACCTGGAGAAAATGGAATAAACTGCCGGAGCCTGGAGTGCCTGGCGCTGGCTTCCTGCCCTGTGTCTCGCATTTTTAAGAGCCCAAAACCCCTACAATGTCTCTAATGGAGTTAAACAGTGATATAGCAAACGACCCCGCACACAGCCTAGAAGGGCCAGGTCACAGGGCTGCCCCAGATGCCCACACCCAGCACTGCCCGCCACAGGTTGCTAACCCAGTAGCAGCAGAGAGTGGCTCTTAAAACGAAAAGGAGGCAATTAGAAAAGGAGGCAATCAAGACAATTGCAGCCGCCACCTGGAAGCCCGAGCAGCAGCGAGAGGAGGAGGAGGGTGAGCTAGGAGCTGCGGTTTGAGACCACGAGAACCTGGGAGGGAGGGGGAGGCTGCCGCACAAGGACAAGGGGTCCACTCTCTGGCTACGCTCTGAGGTCATACTGCCCTTAGACCTGGGGTTTGATTACTAGAGGACTCTGCTCTCCCCTCCCCTCCCCCAGCACCCTCCCCCGTGGCAAGGATTCCACAGGGCCCTCTGGCGCCTGGGCCCCACCTGCATTCTAGACTATGCTCCAGCACCTGGACCTCAGAATCCCCATGGGAACGGCCTGAGACGACCTACAAGGCCATGGTGGGTCCTTTCCTAGTCCATCCCCCAGAGGGTGACCACGGCACTGAGTCTGCACCCTGCGGTGTGAGGGGCGGCTGAGGGGGGCTGTTTGCAGGTGTGGGGGGGATTGGGGGGGTGGGAAGGCTATGGATGTGCCGGTGCCAAAGTGCACCCCAGGGCTCTCAGGGTGCTGGGCAGAGCCAGGGGTGCGAGGAGAAGGGGTGGGCTGTGGACTCAGGGCCTCCATTAGTAGGCCTTGCTTTGGGCCCTGTGGGGGTGGGGTGAAAGGACCCCAAGCCTTCCAGGGACCAAGCAGAGCACACGTCCTCTCCTCAGCATCACTACCCCAAAGGCGCCCGCCCACGCCGCTGAAGCCACCCATCCTCCCACACACCTGGGGACGGCCGCCACAGGGCAGATCCCAGCGTCTCTCCTCACAAGCAGCTCGTTGCTTTTCTCCACATTCCCGCCAGCTCTCAGGGTTTGGTAAGTTAGAGGTTCATCTGAGGCAATGACTACCCTACCGGGCCCTAAGGTGGGGCAGGAAAGGGAACCACCGATGTTTTTTAACCTGTAAAGCCATTGGGCCAGTCTCCATTCTCCCTGCTCAGGCACAGCTGGAGCGCAGACAGACACTGATGGCGGAAGGGCAGATGGAGGCATGGGGCACAGGATGGGAGCCTTCCACAGCAGTGGCAACAGCTGTCACTCATCCAGCGCAGGCCAATCGCCAGCCTCCAGGCTCTGAGAGGAAAGAGCAGAGCCCGAGTGCCTGGGTTCGAAGCCCAGCTTGGCCACCTACGAGCTGCATAGCTGCAGGTGAGGTACATACTGCCTGTCTGCCTCAGTTTCCTCCGCTGTGAACTGGAGGTCAGCCACACACCCACTCCCAGGCTGCCGCGTGAGCGCGGGTGGAGCGTTCAGAGGGGCTGTGAGCACGCTCCAAGTGTCACATGTCATTAATGGCCACAACTCCCCGAGTTTGGAATTATCACCCCCAACGTGCCGATGAGCAAGTGCCTGGGGGACATTCAGTGGTTTGATGCAGAGCAGCAAAGCCAGGACTCCCCAGCCCAGCCCTAAAGTCCCTGGTCTGTCCAGGCAGCCCTCGATGCTGCTGCTCAAGGCTGTTGCCGCGCTGGCCCAGGGCAGAAGAGGAGGGGAGGGGAGGGGAGGGGCTGGAGGCGATCCTCATTTGGAGAGGAGACCACAGGAGAGGGAGGCTGTTTGCAAAAGGCTTCCCCACGGTCTCCAGAGGATGGAACAGGTGCAGACTAGCACGAACTATGTCCACGGTGTCCACGACATCAGCTGCCCTGAGCGGCAAGTCCTCTGCAGGAGCTGCGCAGGCAGACTTGCCAGGCTGTCCTACGTTAACATGAATTCACTATGAGCGAGTTTCATATGAACTAAATATGAGTAGGCTGCTGTCGTAAAATCCGTCACCAGCAATATTTTGAGTACTGGTGAATTTGATGAAAAGAAAATATGAGCCCCGATCTGTAATAGTCTCAGCAATAAAAATAAATTCTGAAAACACACACACACACACACACACACACACACCCTAGAATAAATCCAGGAGTCATGTGTGAATTCATCTGCTTCTCAGGTTTCCTCAAGACCTGAGAGGCCCCATGGAAAACAGCCCACCTCTCCACCCTGCCCTGAGACACAGCGAGAAAGGGGCGTGTGGGTGCCTCACCTGATGGAGAGGTAGTTCAGTCTCTCCCGGGACAAGTGGTGCCTGCAATGTGGGGACAGCTGTGGGGGGAGCTGGGTGAGAGTGGGCGGGCACATCGCTGCAGCCGCAGTCACAGCCCCAGCTGGCAGCAGGCAGACCCCAGGGCTGCGGAGCCCAAGGAGAGACTGATTTCCTGCCGGGCGCGCCCCTGCGCCTGAGGTGGGGGACAGCGTCTCTTTATTGACCTACTGCACGTATCTCACAAAGAGAGCCACAAAGCAACAGCCCATCAGCGCCACCAGCGAGGCCGAGATCACCACGACGACCACGCTCCCGGCCATGTTGACCAGGAAGCCCAGGCCCCCTCCGACCAGGATCTGGGCCAGCTGGACCATGCAGGTGAGGGTGGCGCAGTCCAGGCCCTGCCCGCGGCCGTCGCTGTCCGGGGCCCCGGCCCGGGCCTTCTGCTTCTGCAAGGAAAACACGGGACCGTGTGTGAGCTACACGGAACGCGCCAGGGCCGAAGCTGGCAGCCTTTCTGTGAAGACCCAGACAGTAAATGCTCCCGCTGGGTGGCAGCTACTCAGCCCTCTGCCGTGGCCGAGGGGAAGCAGCCGCAGCTGGTAAACCAGTTGCGTTCCAGCACAACCTCACGCACACGGGACTTGAGTTTCCTGTTATTTTCACTTGTCACCGAATGTTATCTTTCTGTTGATTTTTTGTAAAACTCATTTAAAAAGTTTTAAAGAACTCCTTGTTCACTGGCTGTACAAAAGCAGGTGGCTGACCACATTTGGCAAGGAGACGGACGTAGTTTGCCAAGCCCTGATTGAAGGTGGCCGAGATTCTTCACCCCTTCCCTGAGGCTGTCAGAGAGCCCTCAGTTCCACCATTAGCACCCATGGCAGTGAAATGGTTAATGTAGGTAAGTAAAATCGTCTCTTCCTAAAAGTCAGTACGTACAATGTAGTGAAAACAATAAATTACCCCACTCTTTCATTCATCAGTGCTACAAATGCAAACATTGTTAGGAGGCTGTTGAATCACAGATATACATAGGAGAAGCAACATCAAAGAGGAATTCAACCTTTCAGAATATGGTTGGTTTGGTTAGTATATTAGTACTTGACTAATATTTGATATTTGGTCTGAATTGTTTGATAATTTGCCATCTATTGGGTGTCTGTCATGTGCTAGGTGTTGTGTAAGGTTCTTTCACATGTCACTTCGTTTCATACTCCACCACCTCCCAGATGTACATATTCTCATGATCCCCATGAGAATAATAAGAATAATATTATTGTGTTTTTGAATCTTTGTGGGTGCTAGTTAGGCAGTATGCTAGGCAGATTATCTACACTGACTTGTTTCATTTGATATCTAACAACCCTATAAGGTGGGTATATTGTTCCCATTTAATTGATTAGAAAACAGGCTCTGAGAGTTTGATAATTCCTATACTATTAAGACAAGAAATACTTTGTGCCCCTCAAATGCATATTATCCTTCAAATATAAAGGGAAAGTAAGAAAAGGGATTCATATTGCTTAATTTTCACTTAAAAATACTGGAAATATAAACAAAAACCTAAGCGTGGTTACATGTAGGGATGAGGGGAGGCAGGAAAAAGTGGAGGGAGGAGTGCGCTCTCGGTGTATCCCTGGGATTGTTGAACCATGTGTATATGTCTCCCCTGTGACCTGCCTTTAAGTGACATTTAATAAATCAGCGAACAACATCCTGTGTCACGCAGCTGCCAGGTAGAGGAGGCGGGATTTGACCAGGTTTCTCTGAGTGCAAAGCTTTGCGTTTCTGCCCTAGAACCACGGCTGCTCTCCTCGGAGGGACAGTCCCCATGGCAGCTGCCTCTTTAATAGCGACCCTGCCTGCACTGAAACGTCAGGGACATGTCTGCCAGGGGATGAGGGTGGACGCTGGTTTGAAAGGTTGTAACTCCAGGTGCTCCCTGCCTGCTGCAGCGTTCGCCAGGTCAAATGAAGGAAAAGACAGCCCGAGCTGCATCACATGGGCGTGCCTTCAGGGACTCCGTGGTTTCAGGCTGTGCTGGATTAAACTCTGCGTTACCTCCAGCTTTTACATCACGGCTCCAGCTAAGGAACTGCAAGCCTACTTTCATGGGGAACAAGTTGCATGTGTTTGTAAGATGTGATCATCTTAGAGCAGAAATCCCCAACCTCGTGTTCTCTTGGGCAGGTGAGGGCCTTGCCCTCTGGCCTCAGGTCCAAGGTGGAGGTGGGGCAGGCCTCCCTCGAGGCAGCTGGTGGGAGTGATGGCCTGGGACCAGCTTACCAACACAGGGCCTGCTTACCAACAGCGGGACTTCCAAGGAAACTGTTGCTTAGGAACGCCCTACCCTCAGCCAAGAACCCCAGAAACCGCACCATGCACTTCTGCAGTGGCTGGGGACCCAGAAATGTCCCGGTGCAATGGACATGAGAGGCAGCTGTCAGAAAGCCCGGGTTCCCCTTCCCTTGTCTCTGTGTGACAGGGCTTCAGAGTGAGGAGGAGGAGGAGGGGTGGGCTGGGCAGGTGGCCATGGCTTGGCCAGACCATCATTATATCTGGCTGGCGTTTGAGTGCTGCTGTTTCGAGAATCCTTATTGTCCAGCTCTGCCTCACACTTTCCTACCAAGTCCCCCCGTTTTCAGGTGAGCCTGGAGTCCCCCTGCGCAGAGGTGCACCACGCACCTGCTCCTCCTGCTCCTCGCGGTGGTACTCGGCCATGAGGTTGAAGGGCACGGTGTACAGGGTGCTGGACATCACGCCAAACGAGGCGCACAGTGCCAGGGTGGAGTAGACATTCGGGAAGAGCCCGATAAATCCTGTCCCCAGGCCGAACAGCAGGTACCCCATGAAGTAAAGACCCTTTAATCCAATGTAGGACACCAGAGCTTTCTGGAAGTCTGTGGGAGGAAGAGGGAGAAATTACAGCGGGCAGCGCCTTGCAACACCGATCGTTTCACACAATCCCTTCTTTTGAAGATTCACTTTTCTTAGGAGCCTTTTTTTGATACTGAGTCTCGAACAAAAGAACCTCCTCATCTGTGCTTGACAGCAGCAGGCTTGTGAAATCAGTTTTAAACCCTTGAATAAAACCCCAGAAATTGCTTGCTAGGTTGACTTCCTTTCCCACACAAGGACCAGGCACTGTTCAGCAGACAGCAGGACGCAGAAGAGGTGGGCAACGTTGGCGTTGGCCATGGACCTGGGGCTGCAGGACAGGGAAGAGAAGTGGGGGTCATTCTGCTTCGCAGGGGTCTCGCCTAACAGGCCCTAAGTAACAACCCAGGCCGCCCTTGGCCCCATGGCCCAAAGTCAGGTTGGAGGAAGTGAAAACAGCCAGATTTTAGAGAACGATCCAGGCCATTCGCTTCCTCACCCCTCCTGATGCCGTCTGCACGCCTGCGAAGGAAGCAGAAGGCGTGCATTGTCTGCAGACACCTCGCCCGACTTGCCGATCCACCGCCGGCTCCCCACTCTCTGTGGACAGCTTCCTTAACTTCTCAAAACCTCAGCTTCCTCATCTGAAAAGGGGGACTCATAAAGTCTTTATTGGGGGTTGTTGTCAGCACAAACGAGATAAAATGTCTGTGAAGTCTCCCAGCCCAACGCTGAGCACACAGAAGACATTCAGTTAATGGTGGCTACCCGTTATTTCGTTGATTCTTGGGTTCCCTCCCAGCAGGTAACCTTGGCTTGCCCGTGAAGGTACTGCGGTACAATTCATTTTTAAAATTTGGAAATTCTGCTTTAGAATGTTTTACATTGTTCCCCACCATGGAAAATCCCTAACAATGTTTATTTCCCTTTTCCAATCAGTTGTCTTTAATATATACATTCCTATCTTTCCCTGCCCCTCTATAATGGAACACGTGAACCCAGGGGATCAATGATAGACACTTGAAATGAGCCTATTCAAGAGTGAGATTTCCATATCTTTCCAAATAATTAATGGACTTACAATTGCATAGACAATAACCCTAATCTACATTACATTTGAATCAGTTATGAACCTGAACATGGTTGAAGGTCATCCATGGAGGACGGAGCTCTGAAAAGGACAAGAGTGTGGCACTGCTTCCCCTGTTGAATGTGTACCATACCTCGAGGACTGTTGTCAAGGCTGAGAATGGCGGTATAGAGCCATGTCTGTTACTGTTTGCTTAATGATTGTATTTATGCAGGAAATGTCATCTAAGGTACCTCAGTATCTTAAAGCTACTATTAATATTCATTAGGAGACCGTTCTTTATCCAAGGGGGAAAGCAGAGAAGGATAAAGAGATATTGGAAACATGAGCAACTTCAGTACAAAGACTGTAAGTCTGGCACAAAAGGCTTTACTCAGGACATGGAATCAGTAAGTACAAGGGCCACGCTGATACCCGGGTCTGCTGGGCCTGACACCTGGTAGTGGTCACTGTGCCTCTGGTGGGGTCGGAAGGTCAATGATAGGTTTAAGCAGCAGCTATGAATAGCAGTGTATGATATGAACAGTTGGCTATATTTCGATACTCGCTGCTGCTATTCTCATTGGTCTAAGGGTGCTTGCTATGCAATGAGCTTGAAAACAAGCCACTTATCACCATGCCCCAGTTCCCACCGCAGCAGCCAGGCTCCATCCTGATAGAAATTCTGGATTAGCATCTGATGTTTCATGATGAGCCCCCAATAGAGGATTGTGTGTATGCTCTGGAACTGAAGGGAATGACTGATTCTGCCTAGGGTGGGTTGGGGCGCAGGGGAAAGATGTGAGAGAGCTCACAGAGGAGGTTACATGGGAGCTGGGTTTAAAGCGCCATTAGGAGTTGCCGAGGTGGGGGGGGGGGAAGAGCTGTTCATTTTTAAAAGGAAACAAAAAGCAGTGGAAAACGCATAGAGATGGGGAGGTCTCTGTGGTGAGTCACGAGGCTCGTTCATCTATGTGCGAGTGACGGAGGCCAAGGTGGGAGCCAGGCCTGACTCCTGGAATGCCAAGCTCAGGACTCTGACTTTATCCCCTGGACATGAGGACCCCTGAAGATCCTTGGGCAGGGCTAATTGGTATTTTATACATAAAATTTTAGTTCTAATTTACAATGATAGGAATCCCTTAGATTTATACTTAACACTTTATATATTTCAGATAACTTTGGTAAACTATTCAAGTAATAGTTTATTTTGTATAGGGATTGCAAATAGAGAGGGCCTAAAAATAATATGCTTTTAAATTTTCAAATGCCATGAAATTCATACAGTAACTCACACTAGAGTAATAATACCTAGTAGGAATTATTTGATTTTAAAAAAAAGTTAAAATTGACACAAAATTAAAATGGTGGTTACTTGTGGAAAATGTGTTCCTCTTACAAGAATGAGGGGAGTAGGGAGTAGCTCCCACCTCTGGAAAGCACATAGGCACTGAGATGGATTATGAGACCCTGTATCTATCACTCCCCGATTCTATTCCAGTGCTTAAAATCTTCCTCCCGGAATTCTCTTAGTTCACATGCTCTGAGGGGAAAAAGAGGGTGTGCATGGGAAATGTTAGCTTTATGCCACCACTATTTGGTTATAACGCATTTAAAGGTAATTCACTTGATGGTTTTCTGCTATTTGGGCTCATGAGTTCCTTATATGTTTATGTGAGGTGCCCTTTCCCAGTTTGCTACGTTTTGAAGAGAGGTTCTTGACCTCAAAGCAGGTTTCCTGCTGTGCCGAGGCTAGCAGAGGCTGAACTCCAGACTGGGGGTCATTACATACCTGCACCCCATTCCCCACAAGAAGCACAATTCAGTGATAGAAGGATGCCCTGGGCATGGTAACAGGGTTTGCCCCCATCTCCAACCCTCCCCTACCTGCTCTGGGCCCCTGCTGTCCCCAGGGCCTGTCCAAAGCCTAGGGTTCTGCATAGGGGACAAGCTATTCCCCCCACCATGCCAGAGGAGCTCCCAAATTCCCACTCCAAATGGTCCAATAGATTTTTATTGACCGGAGTTTTCACTTAATTAAATGTATACAAGCTCAGAGATTTCCATACCCATTAGCCAGCACAAAAGGAGCCCGTGTGATGCCCAGCACTGGAGCACAGCAGTTTGGACTTATTGAAAACCCATTGCAGAAATGCTTTTGTTTACGGTGCCCTGACAGCTGAAACTCAGCTAAGTCGGGCGGTGGCGGAGGCGGGGTGGGGGGTGGCGCGGGGCAGCGGGCAGGAGGGGGCAGGTTTAATAGGCTCCAAACCCCATGGAAAGCTGGGACCTGAGAAGGAAGCCATTGTCCTCAATATGGAACAGTGCTCCTGTGACATACCACCCTGCTCGTCTGAGCGAAGGTCATTTTACATGTTCTTTTTGTCACCTAGCATATTACCCATCCATCCTATTTTGTGTCATCTACAAATCTGATAAGCATACTTATGAACCTCCATGACCTCACTCCAGTAGAACCCAGGCTTGTTGGTAATTAAGATTCTGCTGGACTCTACCCCTGGTCCATCCAACACTTTGCCATCTTATTTACAAGATTTCCTTTTATTTTCCAGGGGACCTTGATCAGGGACACACTGATTATAAGGACAAAGTAGTCATTGAGGAAAATGACAGATAGAATCCCCTATGAAAAAAGATTTCATGTGGTCCTTTCTAAAAGAATAGTTTTCCCTGCTCTCTATATATTTATCAAAAATCTGGTATTTTAAAAAGCAAATAATAATAATAATAATAAATATAGAAATATAAAATCCAACATTCTGCTAGACCAGAGCCCTTAGAAGACACCATAGGAGGAGTAGACTTACAAGAATAGAGTGAGGAAAACACTGCGTTGATGCACAAGCCCCAACATCCGACCTCAACCCCTCTTTCGTAGATGAGAAACTCGGTGGAGTTGTGTGCACTATAGGGATTCCCATGGTACACGATCTGAAAGAGAGATTTGGGCTATTGAGCTACTAATGCAGGGTGGTAGGGACTCCTCTTCATCCCTAGGGAGCAAGATGGCCTTGCCCAAGGGCCGCTTCCTAGGGCACAGAGCTCATCCTCCCATGACCACAGCCTCCCGTTTCATCCGTTCACACCTCTACGCAAGGCCCTTTAGGAAGCCCTAATGCTACTGCATCAAGTCTAAACAACATCTCTCTGGATCATTACCACCCCTCCTTCCACACAGCTTCTGGCCCCACCCAACTTAGGCTACCCTGCCCACCACTTTGGGTACAGCCAATAGGTCCTGCTGGGAGTATTTTCTCCTCCTCCTCTTTCTCCAACTCCAATTCACCCTTCAAGGCCCAGCGCATACTGCGCCTCCTTCATTAAGCCTGCATGACTGCTACAGCTCACAGTGATTGTCTCCTATTTGCTGTTTTGACCAAGTACTGGTCCCATAGTATCCTCCAGTTGTCTAGGATGTAGTAACTTGCCCCTAGAACCTGTCTGTAAGCCGGCCCCTTAAAAGTACTCTTTCCTACACTCTTATGTGCCCATCTTAGAGGCTAGCCCAGAAGAAGGCCCACGGGTACTGAGTAAAAGATTGATGCACAAGTCAATGAGTATGTATACAGACGTGTTCATTACCCGGCCCATGAAATCTGTGAAAAACAGCATGTTGGACAGGAAGGCGGTCCATCCAATGAGGTGGCTGATGCAAAGGCAGCGGTAGTGGGAAGGCATGTTCACCAGTGCCCTCAGCAGTGACTTCATGGTCATTGTCCTCTGAATCTGGAACAAACATAAAGCAGGTGTGACCTTGTGTGCAGACACGCAGCCAGCTGGGGGAGCCAGAGCACACAGCCACGTTACATATCTGTCAGTCCACCATCACACAGGGTCACACTTTCTGGGCATGGCACTAAGATTTCCATAGAGTGGTCTCTAGGAAATGTTAAATATGTGTAGATGCTTAGCAGTTGCAGTCCCAGAATGTGGCTTTGAGGACCTGAGGGGACAGGGACTGGAAATAGAGCTTGCTTTGGACTAAGATGCAAGAGACATCTAGCATCCTATCTTTGAATGACAGAATAACTGCATGAGGACAAAGCTCATAGACTACCATAATTCTTAGATTTCCTCACTCTGAAAATGTGGTAGATAATTCTAAGAGGCCCATGATTTCTATCTCCTGGTGTTGCCTTGTGATTGTGTATTATTTAGATACCAAAGGGATTTTGCAGAGATAATTAAGGTTACTAATCAGTTGACTTTGAGTTCATCAAAAGGGAGATCATCTGGGTGACTCTAACCAAATCACATGAGCCCTTTAAAAAGCAGGGAGTTTTTTTCTGGCTGGGAGCAGAAGGGGAAGTCAGAGTTCAAAGCAGGAAAAATGCTAGTTTTGAAGATAAAGGGAGCCATGTAGAAAAACTGAGAGTAGCCTTTAGAGCAGTGGTTCTCAACCTTCTGGCCCTTTAAATACAGTTCTTCATGTTGTGACCCAACCATAAAATTATTTTCATTGCTACTTCATAACTGTAATGTTGCTACTGTTATGAATCATAATGTAAATATCTGATATGCAGGATGGTCTTAGGCGACCCCTGTGAAAGGGTCGTTCGACTGCCAAAGGGGTCGCGACCCACAGGTTGAGAACCGCTGCCTAGGGGATGAGAGTGACTCCGAGCCAACAGTCAGCAAGATAACAGGGACCTCAGTCCTACAACCTCACGGGACTGGATTCTACCTGAATGAGCTCAGAAGCCTATTCATCCCCAGTTGAGCCTCTAAGTTGAGAATACAGCTCCACTGATACCTTATTTTAGCCTTGTGAGGTCCTGGGCAGAGAATCCAGTTGAGCCCACCCAGACGTCTAACGTATAGAACTGTGAGAGAGTATGCTGGTGTGGTTTTAAGCTGCTAAGTTTATGTTAATTTGTTCTGTAGCAACAGAAAACAAACACAGAGAGCCAACTGGCTCCCTGCTCTTGGCTGGGTACCTCCTACCAGTTTATTTCTGTGGATCCCACCACAAGCCAACACATGCAAATTAATTTCCATGTTGGATCAGAAGTGAGAACTCTGTAGAACAAATGCACACACACATACATACATGCACAATGGATACATATGCCCCAAATTCTTTAATTTAGACAACTATTCTGTAAAAACCAGAGGCTCCAATTTTTTGGTCAGAAGGAGCCTTGAAAGAATAAAAACAATTTGAACTATGAAATAGAAAGAATAAAACAGCCTTTAACATCTTGTCATATAAGAGAAGAGAGAAACCTCAGGAATACTAAGCAGTCAGCTGCCCTGAAGACCCCGAGACTATAAGCATCAACTGTGCAGGGGTCTTTCTTGTCAGATTTTTATTTATTTGAAGCTTGACACAATGAAATTGGATCTGGGCTAGTTTATTTATAAGATGGTCTCCTGAGATTTTCTGTTTTAACGGGAACAGTATCTTGTGTTTACAGCTCTTGACCTTATAATGATAATGCTTTTAGTTCCTTGTTGCAGAAAATTGCATTTACTCATGGTAGGTTTGTTGTATAAATTGATTTTTTAATTCATCAATTTTATAGTATTTAGTCTACTGACATGACTGAACTGATTTGCTTATATTTACTCAGTATTTAAAAGTATAGAACACCATGTATTGGGTTGTTCAAGGAATACTAAAGCCTAACTACTCAAAGTATGGAGGGTGTGCAGGAGGCAGCTGATTGATTTTTCTCTCTCATCGATGTTTCTAACTCTCTGTCCCTCTCCCTTCCTCTCTGTAAAAAATCAATAAAATATATTAAAAATAAATAAATAAAAGTATAGGCCTGCCCTTGGACTTAAGGAAAAATAACTGCTTTCTAAATGTGACATATGGTGCCTGTCAAAATCAATGGTGAGCACAGCAGAAACTCAGGCTGAATTACTACCTTTCCCTGGACCTTAGGAAGAAGCAGCTAAAGGTTTAGACTGAGACACAACTGAGTGACTTATCTTCACTTTCCTTCCTGTCTTCCCAAAATGCAAAACTTTATAAAGTGAATCTGGCCAGCAAGCATTCCACCTCATTCCAAATATTAATTTATGCGTCTGCCTTATACATGCTTTTCAGCCTGCTTTCATTGTTAGCCTAATATTTCCTTTCTTCCAAAAATAAATATGAGCTTTCAGGTTGTGTCTAATATTTCTGCAAAAGATGGGAATATGCATATTCAAAGCTCCTTTAGTATTTCAACTCAGAATGACAATTCAGCTGGTATCTTATTCTCTGACTCATCAGCTCCCTTGGCAAAGCCCTTTCAGTGGTCTGAGCCCCTGGGAATGGGTGTCCTGCACGTATTGTGTGCCCATATCCACTGGAGATTGGGTGGATGGATTCGTAAGTGGAAAGGCACAGAGCCATCAGCGGGGAAGAGAACCTCACAAGGGTCCAATCCAAAGGAGCCCATTGAGACCGTGAAGTGGGTAATGATGGCGTGGAGGCATTGCAGGTGAACGTTATGGCTTGAACTCAGAAATAATTCAGGCCTTTCATCATTAAAAGAAAGCATTCCCCCGTTCACCAATTGCACAGCCACCTTCATTGTGGGAAGTAACGGCTTTGACACGCAGTGACGGCCAGGGCCAGGGCCAGGGCCCCGACATGATGGACTCTCCCATTGCTCGGCCGGAGCCTCCCAAGGTGCACATTTGCAATGAAGAGTCGGATGCTTGGCTTTGGGCTTAAGATACGTGGCTGTTTTTGGAATCTTGTTTTTTGTTTTGTTCTTTAAAGCAAATAACAAAACCAATCAGAGCCTACAGTGTTGTGTGTGTGGAACATACTAGAAAGTTAATTGTATTTGACGCCTGTGCTTCTTTACTAGTGTGAAGGGTTGTAGGCCTTTCAAAAGGCTCCTGCTCACTTGTTTCATTTGCTCCTCACTCTGAGTCAGAGTTAATCGACAGGGCAGCGAGGCAGTGATAACCTAGTGGGGTAATAGCTACTTATCTTTAGCAAAGCCCTGCCTTGTTTTCTTCCCTAAACCATGACATTTTTTCTCTACTTTCAAAGTAATATTTGTCCATTATAGAAATGTTGAATCTACAGAAGGGTTTAGAAAAGAAAATTGAAACTACCCGTTAGCCCATCAATCAGAGAAAATAACTTCAATTAACATTTGGGGTATAAATCCTTTCTATTTTTTTCTCTGTATTGTGTAGCTTTTCTCAAAATGGAGGTCGTGTGTTGCCAATATATTATCTATAATAATAAAAGCATAATATGCTAATTAGACTGGACAGCTGAATGTCCTTCTGGATGTCCTTCTGGACGTCCTTCCAGACAAAGCCACAGTGGCTGCGAGGTCTGAGGGCAGGCAGCTGTGGCGGTGGCCAGCAGTGGCAGCAGCAGCAGTGGGGTGATGGGGGCAGTGCCTTAACCTGATCAGCCTGGTTGCCTCCTGCAGAGGAAGGCCAGACTGCAGCTCAGGGAGCAGGCCTAAGCAGTCAGTAGGACATCCCCTGAAGGCTCCCAGACTGTGAGAGGGGGCAGGCCGGGCTGAGGGACCCACCTCCCCCAGTGCATAAGTTTTTATACATCAATCCTCTAGTGTTTTAAATAATTGCTCAAAAACACACACATATTTTGATGATTATATGGGTTCCATTGCATAGATAGATAGCCCATGATTCTCATGTTGCCTTACAGAACTACACGAGGGGGCTCCAGTCTAACTGGGAATCCCGGAGTCCTGATCTGTTAGCAATGAATGGGCAGGGGGTGTCCATGCTCCCTGCGCAGCCTGGGGTGGGGGCTCACCAGGTCTCAAGGGACCACCACTGTCATGTTTTCTCTGTTTGCTGTGAGGTCAAGATAAAATGAAGGCCTCATCCCAATAAACTTTCAGTTCCTCCGGTGTCCTTCCTGTGCTGGAAACACTACACTCATGCTAAAGTAGGAGCTGTTGGTGGAAGGGATGACCAGTCCCTGCCGTTGCATTCCCTATCAGGGAGGCACGGTAGAAGGCAGGTTGATACACCTAACGCCAACACAGATGTGTTCAGAGGCAAGGCCTCTTTCGTAAGACCTGACGCAAGTAAAAAGTTTGCCAATTCAAACCCAAGCAATGCTGACATTTACTTTTGTATTAATTTTTGAAAAATACTAAGCTAAAGAAAGAACAAAGCACTTAATCTTGAGAAAACTTTTTACAGGCTTTTATAACTAGCTGCTAAGACTCACCACTTTTATCCATATATGTAATTGAATAGATGGAAATGAGGTTTTCTAGTGACTACAAGTAGCAAATATATCTCCTTGAAATACCTCTGAAAGAAAACACAGTTTCAAGCATTATAAATCACTTAGCTAAATGCAGTGTGGCACCCTGGATTGGATATTGGAACAGAAAATGACATTAATGGAAAAACCGATGAAACAGAAATGTCTGCTCTTTACTTAATAGCATTGTACCAGCGGTAACATCTTAGTTTTGACAAATGGTTGCGTGAGGTGCTAACATTAGGGAGAAACTGGTGAAAAGTAGACCTCGAGATAAGGAACTCTCTCTCCTCTCTGCCACTTTTCTATAAATTGAAAATTATTCCAAATTATGCATTTATTAAGTAAGACAACATGTAGTTGCCCTTTGATAGGTGACAACTCTGAGGCAGGGACAAGATCCGTCCTGATGTTCAGCTGGGGTAGGCTTTTGTTAATAGCGGCTGAAGAATGATCTGTGTACACAATTGGGCTGATTCTGATAATTCTCTTTATTCACCCAAACAAATTCCAGCAAGATCCATACTTCAGATGGCCGTTTCTGCCGCATTCATTCAACAAACAACTAACAGAACACTAGCTGCCGGCTTCCTACATGCCAGGCGCGGAGGTAAATGTCAAGGACGAGAAAATGATTCTGTTCTCTGTGCTGTGCTTTGCAACAGGGCGATCGCTTCCTAAGGCAGATACATGTCCAGTCACTATGTGTACCCTGAAACGAATACAGTGATGTATGTCAGCTACGGTTGAAAGATAACTTTAAAAGAAAAAATAATGGGGAAATGGACCGAGGCCACCCGCCCTCAGGGAGTTCCCTCACCACGCGGTAAGGAAAACACAGGCGAGTCAGCACACAAGGCAGATGTGAAGTAACTCCAGGTGAAGACTCCACATCACAATACCAATGAGGAAGCCCTGGGTCCAGGGATTGTGGAATACACTATAGTCTCCAAGTCATGGCTATAGTCTCCATGCTACTTGCAGCTCAGTGTGGCCACTGACTAAGTTCTGGTCAACAGTACGTAAGCAGAAGTGATGTTTGCAGCTTCTGAGTTGTGTCCCTTTCTTCCTTCCTGCTGGCAGGAATGTAGACATAATAATGATAACAGAAGCCATCTTGGACCTCGAGATAAAAGCTCCATGTTCAAAATGCAAGCAACAAAAACAGAAGGGTCCGGGTCCCTGATGGACTCAGTAGGATAGCCCAGTCCATCCACCCGGGCCTTCATAAGAGAGAGAAACAAACTTACATCTTGTTTAACTTAACGAGGGTCTCCTATACACGGACTCACTCAGGAGCCCAAATTGAAAACCTAACCTGTTGTCCCAAAGCTCCTGCCCCAGCAAGAGAAGTTGAGCTCCTGGAGGGGAGGAGACCCACTGAGCATGCTTGGAAATCTGTGCTAGTGCAGATCTAGTCTGTTCCCGACGTATGCTAAGGGCACTCAGCACCCCACCAGGCTTATACAGCATCGACACCTAACACCTTGCATGTGGAAGGAACCATTCTAAGTGACTTTGCACGGATAATCTCATATTATCTGCACAAAACCCTTGTAGGTAGGTAAAACTCCTTTCTCATTTTATGTGACTGTAAGTGCCCAGGTCATACATTGCAGAGGTGGGAGAGGCGGGCTCTGGACACCTATGCTCCTGAGCGTTAGGCTGCCCACAGCAAGTGCTGACAGTCATTTTCTGAATGGAGAGCACAGGTCAGCCAGCTACGGAAGCCAGGGTTTACAGCTAGGCCTTCCACAATCTCTTGGCCAGTGAGGGAATCCTTCGCTCTCTGTCCCTGAGGTGTTGGTATTCAAACTCAGCTTGAAGGGGGATACGGAGCTTGCTACAGTGGTGGACATGTTCTATAGCTGCAGCATCCTATACAGCAGCTGCTAGCCGCGTGGGCCCATGGAGCATTCGAAATGTGGCTAGGGCAACTAAGGAACTGAAGCTTTCATTGTATTTGATTTTAATGGATTTTAATTTAAAGAGCCCCATGGACCACTAGCTACTCTAGTTGGTCAGCATAGGTCTAGTCTCTTCCCCTTGACCATTTTTTTTTTCCGTTTTAACCTGGTTCCATCTCCCTGGCATTTTATAGAGTTTTCTTTAAAAATTTTAAGCTAATTAATTCATTGAGTAGTTCACTAGGAGTGGACTAACAGGAATATCTAATCAGCTCATGAAAAACAAATTCAACAGTCACCAACCCTGAGATACTGTCATTTGCAGAAACACACTTACAACCCTCATCTAAGAACTGAAGGTATTTCTGTGGCCTAAGACACGTACGGCCTGGCATTTTGCACCTGGCTCCACCTCCCCTGGTGAGATGTTCTGAAAAGAGAAAAACGCGCACACTTTTCTTTGAAGCACGAAGTTTCCGTCTAAGGGATAATGGCTACTGGGGGTTGGGGATTCAATTACACTTCACAAAACCCTTCACATCAAATAAACAAAACAAAGACAAAGCATAATTTTAAAAAAACCAAAAAAACAAAAAAACGAGACCGGCAAGAACAAGAATATTTTTCCTCAAGTAAAGAAAAAGGAATTTGCATCGTTACCTGTTTAGCAGGATTTTTGGTTTTTTCTCCCTGCACCGTCAGCTCTGAGTGTACGTAACCGTTTTTAACCTTCTCGATAGACCCATACTCATACGTTTTGTCTGATGACAATGGCGGGTCCTGGGGGGCTTGCTGCAGGAGACTGTCCTTTGCAGTGTCTCTAAGTGGGGCTTCAGGGATGCTGCACAGATGAATGATGAAACACAGAGTGAGGACCAAGGCGGAGAAGAAGAACATGACCTGGAACTCCGTACCTAGCACTCTTCCCAGTTTCAGGTGGGCCCAGTCGATGGCACCCAACAGGTAGCCTAGGGCACCTCCAAAACCTAGAAAGCAAGGAGAGCTGTATCAGCATATTTAGCAAACTGGCTTCCCTCTCCATGGTGCCCGCCCTTCCCTTTGGGGGAAAGCTCCCCGAGGACAGCATGGGCGCCTGGTGATGACTGCAGAGGCCACAGGGAGAGGCTAAGACACCTGCAACCTGGAAAGGTGGGTGGGCTCAAGGCTTGGCTCTTGCATGTACACGCTGTGACCTTGGACTTCTTCACTCAGGATATGGGGATGAGAGTGAAAGAGTAACCTACTAGAAGAGTCATAACTAGAAAACGGTGCCAGGCTTAGCCAAGTGCATAGTAAATATTGCCACTGTCCGAATTCTTGTGGCCTTTCCAAACCAGACTCTTACGCTTACAAACGGAAATACCTGACTTGAAAGATCCCCAAAGAAAACTGCTTTCTAACAGCAATAAAAATAATTATTTCTATTATCATTTACCTATTAACTAGCTTTCTAAGGGGTTGAAGGTTTGCAAAGATCCAAGAATGGTAGCAGAGTGCAAAGTCTGGCCACTTCACATTCTGGTTAGTTGCAATTTGCCATAGAGGATAGTTACAGATGACCAACTGTTTAACCACTGAATTACAGACATATAGTATCATTGCCATGCCCTGAGTACCAACGTGTATGAGTGTGGAATTATGGGAAATTGTGGCCAATAGTGGGCAATGAAGTAAAACATATGTTCTCTACTCACAGGAGCATATGATATAGTTATTGCTGATGGGCATACACATAAACAGATAAATGACACATACGGTGACCTGTTGTGGGTGGTAGGTGTCTAGGATCTGAGAGGAAGGGGAGGTCCTTGAGGCAGCCACAATCTGTTGCTGATTCAGAGGGCAGTTCTGGGATTTGTGGCACCTCTAGGTCACCATGAGACAATGACTCTCTTTACCCAATTGTGGGCATGCCCAGGGTGTCAGAGGTCATGTGATAAGCCAAGCAGTCAACCAAAGATGCATTAAGTGCAAAGCATTATTCAAGGGTCTATCTAAATTAGGGTTTCTTAGTCTTGGCACTACTGACATTTGCTGCTAAATAAGTCTGCTGTGCAGGGCTGTATGTGCATTATAAGGTGTTAACAGCCTCTCTGGCCTCTCCCCACCACCTCTCCAACCCTCCCCACCAGTTATGACAATCAAAAATGTCTTCAGACGTTACCTAATGTCCCCTATGGGCAAAATAACCCCCAGTGAGAACCTCTGACCTTAATTAACACTAAGAAAAACTTACACATTCCTTTTTTCAAACTATTTCTCACTTGCAACCAGATCAATGGTTGTTATAATGTCACTTAATCCTTCTATTCTTCTCTCCTTCAAATTTATTGTTCCACTGGGCAGAGAAAATACAGAATAGAAGACACTGGCCCATTTGAAAGAATTGATATGTAAAACAAATCATCCACTGTTCAATGGAATGGTGATCAGTTTATGCATATAAATATAATGATGGATTTATAATAATGGATTTATATTAGATCAGTTGAGTTCTATCATTGGAGGATTCCCTGGTCAGTTTTGTGTCTACTGGTTGAGTATGGTTCAGTAAACATTTACAGAGGACTGAAAAATATGTAAAGGACTCTACTAGTTTCTGGGGATATACCATAAATAAGAAGGCAATTCCAAGTGGGAGGAACAGATAAGTAAACAACTACTTTAAGAAAACTGTAATAAATAAGAACTTAGAACTGTGAGCTGGGTACTGAAATAGTATAGAGGAGTTCTGAAGAGTTTATTTTTGGTGCTTAGTTCATGGTAACAAGCTGATGTTGACTATTAATAACTATCACAAGATTCCTCTTAATTAGCAATGAAGTTCATAAAAGTTCAATACATCAGTGAATCCCAAAGCTCTAAAGGTAGAAGGATGTCTGGAGCTTGAGAAGTTGAATTAGATGAGAAAGCCACAGGCTACAGTGGTTAAGTGGTGGGTGATAGCGTGAAAAGAAGGGGTTTGGAATTATGCCCGGTTCCCATTCCCACCTGTGTGCTTTCTCATCATGTGATGATGGCATCCTACTGGGAGGAAGGGGGTGGTGATCCTGCTTGTCTGAGTTTCTTGTGGGTTAGCATGATAATACCGTAAAACACTAGCACATATAGTGGCAGAACCAAGATCAAAACCCAGTGAGCAGCTGATTTCCTACAGAAACCCTAACTCTGAAGCCTCACCCCGAAGCAAAAGAGACTAACTGAGGATGCTCCTTGACCTACAATGGGGTTATCACCCAATAAACCCTTGTGGACTGAAAATGTAATAAGTTGCTATAATATTGATCATAGCTTACCCTCACCTACTTAACACGTGCTCAGGACACTTTCTTTTGCCTACATTTGGGCAAAATTACCTGTTTACACACACACACACACACACACATACACACACACACACAGTGCAAGAATTTGGGAAAACTGTTCTTTATGTCTTCCCTGTTGGTTCACTCATTAATCAGTTAAGTAAAACCTGACACATGCTACAAATAACTGAGAATTTCCAATCCTCCGTTCTCTTCGGGGCCGGGTTGGGTAAGTGGGGATGGGGTGGGAAGACAAAAGGAGCAAACCTGTTTTGTTTATCCCAAAGCTACTGTGGGGTGCAGCTAAAAGTTCTGACAGAACATACCCTGAAGGACTAGTGGACAACTGGAGACATTGTCCAAATATTTAAGCTTTATTCACACTGCCAGACATGATAAAAGCCAGTAGGGGGCTGTGGGGATTAATTGGAGGCTTTCCTGTTTGCTTCCACTCCTTAAACTAAGGATTTTATCTTCAAAGATGGTCTTTATAGAAATCCCAGTCATTTTAGCCCCAACAAAGGCTAACACCAATCCACATCTAGATCCAGACAGAGTTTATCTCTATTGAGGACATCAACCTCCTCGGGGCCCTGGAATAGATCACCGGGCCATTGGCTGGAGCATCCAAAGGACATCTGCTGCCACAGTAGATAAGAGCCTACAAAGAAGGGCCCACAAGGGGTCCAGCTGTCAAACTCAGACCAGAGCCAACCTCATGCATACTCTAAAGTACTGAAAAACGGAGAAGTTTAAAGAGGCTGAGCCTCACCGATTACCCATTCTACTTCCAAAGATGTTTATGGGGCCAGCCCCTCACTGAATCATTACAAATAAAACTACTGCGAGCCTGGTGGGCCTGGAGGAAACGAAATACATATTAGTTTGGCATTGACTCCTTTTAAATGGTTCCTTGCTCCAGGCCTGAGATCCTTTGCCAGAATATCAATCACTAACATTGTGTGAAGATTCACAACCCTGTGAGGAAACAAAAGCTCGGAAATACTGAGGCTGCTCAGCAGTCAAGAGGAGGAGCCAGGATTTGAACCTGGACGGCCTTTTCCATTACGCTTCATCCCAGCCTCCCACTACCGGATGGAGCCCACTGCCAAGGATGGCAAGGCCTTGGGCTCAATTTAGCAGAAATATCCTTGATCAGAAGCATTTTGACAAAAGGAGGAATTTCCTCTTGGTAAGTGTGGGTTTCACAGTCTCAAGTGCACCCAGAGGTGAAGGCTGGGGTGAGAGGATGAGGGTGGAACCCTGAGGCCCACCATGGCTGCCACATACTAGTAGGCCAGCCATGGAGACCAGGTAGCGTTACCTTTAAATATAGGAGACAGAAGAAGCCGGAGGATGAAAATGTCCTCCTGGGACCAGAG